CCCCTTTCTATTGCCCCGTCATGTTGCAGTCCCATCTTGATCAAGTGGTTGTGTCTTTTGCTTCATTAGCTTCGTTTATCAATGTTATGCATATGTTGAAAAGACTAACAACAGCGATCGATCGATCTGTAGATTGAACAATCTGTAGTTTCGCTGTGCGACAACCATAAATAACCAAATTTCGTTTGCCCTTCATTGATTTAAATTTGAATTGGCAATAAAACGCCGAGTTTATCAGTTGTCGAAGTGCCTCCTCAGAGACGATTTCTTTTTCCAGTTTTTCCGGTGACTGGGCCCAACTTGTTACACTCTATCTATCCGTCTCGCTCATAATTAATGTAAATCTATATTTTTTGTCGAGTTTGGCCGTTTTATCGCTTTAGCATTTGAATAAAATTTCAATTTTCATGCATTCGTATGTCTCGGACTATGAGTATCTGAAAGTTTATCCCCGTTTGTCATTGTCTTAGGAGTTGCCTGCTCTTATCTGACTGCTTGTCATTCTTTCTGTCTCTCTCTTTTTTTCTCCCCCTCTCTCTTTCACTCTCTTGAGCAGCTTCAATGTCATGGAATGCTATTATATTTTTGCTAGTTAACTCAATTACTTTGGCACAAAAGCTTTGCCATTACCTACTACACTAGGCCAGGGCTAGGATGAGGATGAGGATGGGACCTTTTACTTCTGCTTTTGGTCCAGTCATCAGGCATGACAGGCCGAGACTCTATTTCCCAGTTGGTTCATTATTAGTGCAAATTATGTCCAGCCCCAACCGCTTCTCGCTACCAAGCTCCCATAACCTACAGCAACAACAATTTCTGTCCTTTCTGCTGCCTTCTGTTATTTCCCCAAAGTTTCTAAAAAAAAAAAAAATAAACAAAACTGAGTACCGAAAAAATAAAGAAATTCAAGGCACGTTTTGTGCTGAAACATGAACATCCTTCGTCTATGCTTTAAAATGCCAGACAGCTCAGGGAAACTGACAGCAAGTGAAATCAAATTTGATTGTGGGTGTCAGTCCGCTTGTCCTGCTCCGTCCTGTCCAATTCTGGCATTCGCCTATGCATCCTTGGCTGGAATTTCTTGTTTATGGGCCCAAATTTGGCGCTTCATTATGTAATATTATCTGATGGCTCTCATTTTCGATAGGCACTCGTGGGAAAATGCATAAATAGAAAAATTAATTCAGTTATTGTGGCTAACCAATGTTTCGATTTGCCAAAAATAAAAACAAGCTTTGGGCCATATTAGCAGGCCATTTCAATTCGAATAATCTTATCGTGTGTATATTATCGAGCTTGGTTATCACATTTATGGACTTGTTATTCCTAAGCCTCTTTATTGTTACTAGAGAGTTCCTGATGTTTTACTTCCGCTAGATTTTGATTTAGTTTATGGAAAACATTGTTATTTCCGGTCAGGTTTTTTATGTGCAACACTAAGATTACCAATAACTGGAATTATTTTGTCATAGGTCCATTAAATGTATACAAGTTTATTATGCTAAATATGAGAAATAATTACGTTTCATTCATTGAATGTGTTGCTCTTGTCCCTTTCATATTATAAGGTTGTTATTAACTTTTCAAAGACTTTATGATCTTAGTTCTTTAGTTGAAATGAAAGTATTTATGATTGTTTAATCTACGTGCCTTTTTGGCAATTCCCAGTAAATTCCAGTATTAAATTAAAAGCCAACTCGCATTGTAAACATTTGGCAATGTCCCGTGTTTATGTAGTTATTTTCTGGCATGTTGGCATACTTATGAGCGGGGCGAATGCGTGTGGGAGGGTTTGTGTGTGTGTGTGGGCGTGAGTGTGTGTATTTGGGTGCGAGTGTGTGCGTGTGCATGTGTGTGTATAAATATAAGTATTGTGTGGTGTTACGCGCCGCTTGGCTTTATATCGTATTAAATTTCAATATGTATGACCCCATTTATATTTACGCACAGGGCAAATAAAAATATGCGAAATAAATGTATAGACGAAAATAATGTTCAAACATTTGCACTAATTAAAAAGCAGTGCATGTATGTGTGGGTGGGTGTGTATGTACGTGGATGTACGTGTGTGTATTTATATACGAGGACAAATACAAAATACAAAATATCATACAGCGAGGCGGCAATCGTAGGACATGTGTAATTGCTTTTCTGGCAACAACAATACAACGAATTGTTGGTTTTGTTGTCGTGTGTTCTGTGTGTTTTTATTGTGTATTGTCATATGTACTGTTACATTGTATTATTTTTGTTTTTGGTGGGCGTTGTGCGGGCTCCATTCAATTGGCAAACATTGGCAGGCAGCCGGTTGCCGCCCGAGGCACGAATCCGCCAAAACGATTGAAACTGAAGACGTTTTGGACATTGGACGCCGCCCACGCACTTGGCGGCATGTGGCAACTGGCAACTGGCAGCTGGGGCAACTGGCAACTGGCAGCTGACAGCTGTCGCAACATTGCCCAGCCGTATCCACTCGACAGCGACTGCCATCAGAGGCAAATCAAAAAATAAAAATAAAACGAAAATCACGTGACTTTACAATTTATTTGAGGCATGCAGCGAAATAAATTTATTAATAGCCGACGTCAAAGACGTCGCACAAAAGCTGTAGAAAACGAAGAAGAATTACAACCACCCACACGGCCAAAAAGGAGTAGACCAGGTACTCCGCCAACTGCTTCACTCAGGCTCAGCTGTCTGCGTGTTCATTCATTCAAAAAGATTCACATTCGTATTCGTATTCGCATTCGTATTCGCTTGCGTGAAGCGAAATTCTCTTTCTTTCTCCGGCGCGGTCGCGTCAATTTATGCGCATCACGTTTTCTCATTTTCGAGAATGACTAAATATCGTTTACTCCACTCAATTCCGCCACCGGCTGCACCACCCAGACCCACATTTGGCCTTTTGTGTGAGGCTTGGAGTTTGGTTGCAGTTGCAGCCATTGGCAAAAATATTATTTAACCATTTGCCACGTGAAAACTTTCCAGCTTCTACATACTATATGAACTACTTCTCCATACAGTTACGTTTATCTATATAAAAATATACGTATGCGACGAGGCGTGGCGGGGCGCGTGTGGCAAGTGCAACGGTAGTTTTTTTCGGGGGTAACCAGACCTCACCTGAAGTTGCATTTTTCATTTGGCGTTGAAGTTCGGCGACTGCCGGTGAATGTCCGGACTGCTAATGCCAGAAACGTGCCGAATGTTTCAGTGGATGGCACCGATTGCTGCCTTTCAGGTGCTGCCTCAGACAGAGGCGTCGGCTTCAAGGGGGACAGGCGGGGGCATCATTATGACAAGTGACGAAACTTTGCTTTGCTAACTTTTAATTTGATAATAATGCGAATACTGTGAATGATGTGCAGTGGAATCTGGTAGAGTCGACAGGGCTACAAATTTAAACATTTGGCTGCTCTGTTCAAGGCTTGAGCCCACTCCCTGCCCTTGGGTTCGTTTTTCTTGAGCCCAGTTGTAACCCAAACCATTTACAATTGACCGCTGTACCGGAAATATTGCAATCCTTGTATGTCATTTACAAGATGCGGGCTACATTTTATTGAACTTGACCAAAAATGATTATAAAAATGTATAAAAGGGCAGTGTCTTCCTCCAAAGCTTTTTATTTAAAACCAATCCAAATTTGAAGAAATATGGTTTGTTTCGGGTATCACATTGCTTGTTTTTTATACAGCTGGCACAGTTTGCGGTTCGGTCAACATGAATTTTAATACCGTGCTCGAACTGGTTCGGTTGAATTCGGCTTGTAACCTTGGCTAAGACCCAAGACTCAAGTAGCGGTAATAGCTATAGTCTATTATCAAATGGAGAACAGTTCTCATGACATTTGCAATCCGCACCAATTTTCTGTATCTCACGCAATTCTAACTTGTTCGCACCTATTTATTAGTGTAGTTAGCAACTGGCCATGAAATACCGCAGGGTCTTCACACTTGTTATCATTTCGTACCCCTCTTTAAGTAAGCCACTGCGCTTCGCCCGGCTGGAGTCAAATAGAAATGCAGCACTTGTCGCTTGCAAATTAGTGTTAATTTATCATGATTATTGTTTCACAACGATTCGCAAATTGAGTTCGCTTAGTCAACTGATAGAAAGAGAATCCTGACTCTCGTGCTGGCTCCGGGTTGTTTTTAATAAACCAAATTCGAGCAGAGCAATAAGAAGAGTAGCAACAACTGTAACTAATGCTGACTTCCAGACTGATATCAAACTGTCAAGCTGTCAATTCTTGTTAGGAGCGTTTGCCATCTGCGATGTGGGGAGTAGCTAAGAGCTGTGTGCGGAGTGCTCTCTGGGTTGAGAGAGCTGCCGGTGCTGCTCAAAAATTCAATTTCCAGCTGAAAAGATACAACGACAGCAGCATCAGCATCAGCATCAGAAGTTGCGGGGTGGGAGGTTAGGTGATTGAGAACTGCACGTGTATCTATCGTATTTGTGAGATACTTCTAGGGGCATGGCCAGAGTTGGGGCAAACAAATTGGAAATAGGTACAAAACAGTCATTGAAAAACGATTGCTGACGTGGCTGTGGCATGTGATGCATGACGCCAGTTGCCAATCCTCCAATCCTAATCCAGCATTGGCTGGGCAGGATTAGCGCTCGAGCAATAGCGGGGCGTTTGGAAGCTGAGCTTAGGCTTAGCCCAAAGATATGAAAAATGTGAAAGCCTTCATATTGACGGCACAATTAAGACTTTAATTGGCCCGACTAACATATTTCTCTTTCTCGTTCAATTTTTTTTTTGTCAGGCCATTTAGAGCAACGGCAAAGCTGGCGCAAATCCGTTCAAAATGTGCAAGAGACAGCTGCAATAGACAGCGGCGATAACAGGCAATAGTAGTCAAAGGATTGGCAGCACACCAAGCAAATTCCCAGAAACCTCCTCTCGCCACCCCGCACCCAGCATGCCATCAATTGCGAACATCAGCGTCAGCTCCAGCACCAGCTCCAGCTCCAGCGCCAGGACGACGACGGCGACAATGGTCAGCTTCCTGCCAGGCAACGATGCTCGCCTTAGTTACATTGTAAATCAAGTCGCATCCGCATCCGCAGCCGCTGTCTCGCCCGCCCTGCCCACATTTAGTCCGCCGCGCATTGAGAGCTTGGTGGCCAGTTCGGCGGAGGATTTGAGCAGCTTTGGGGATGTGACATTTGACATCTTCGATGACGATGACGATTTGTTTGGCTCGCCAATGGCCTTCGATGCCAGCGAGCAGGGCTTGTGGAATGGACGCTTCGTGCCCCCACCACCCCGTCCACCCTTCTTTGTAGATGAGCCCGTGCTGAGCGATGGCCTAACCACATGTGATTTATGCTCCTGGGCCATGCCCACCAAGAGCACTTTCATGTTCGAGGGCACGATAGGTAAGCAAACAAATAGTCCATGTTATTTTTCTCTACTGCACTCTCTAACCGAACACCCTGCTCGCTCCGCTCCTGCAGAAAAGGCTACAGAATTGGGCTGGCCTCTGACGTTGATCATTGTGTCAGTGCTGTCGGCGTTGCTCGGCGCCATCATCATGATTGCCGTGGTGCGTTGTCGGCGCAAAAAGTCGTCCAACAATCGCAATGGTAAGTACTGAGCTCTTGCAGGCACATTGACGCACAGTGTCCTTTCATTTTGGACCCACTGTGCGCACACCGTTTGTTGTTGCAACTGTTGCCACCATTTTGTGCATCTTTACCCCATCCTTCGTTGCAGACACACACGTGCAGTGGTGGTCGCGCAACAAACGCGCCCACAGCAATGGAGCGGGCACAGGCAGCGGTGGTGGCCCATCGAATGCCGGTAGCAGCGCCCACAACAACAACAATCATCTGAGACGGAGCAATATTTATACGGCGCACCCGGCGGACAGCATACGCGGGCTGCAACCGCTGCCGCTGCCACTGCCGTTGCCCATGCCGCCCACGCTGGCGGCTGCATCTGCGCCAATGTTGTCCGTAACGCCATCGCTGGCAGGCAGCGCGCCGCCAAGCCAACAGCAGCTGCAACAGCATCAGCAGCCACCACCACACTTCTTCCATCCATATCATCATCATCATCACCAGCACCAGGCAGCCCCGCCGCCGCATTTCCCGCATGACTGCGACGAGGATGCCGCATATGAGGAGCCCGAGTATCATCAGCCGCAGCAATTGCACAGCAGCTCCAATTCCAACTCCTTGTCGTCGGTCACGTCATCGCCAGCGCCCACCGAGGCCACTACCCATTGGCCGCAGGCCGGCACTATGGTGGTCGCCAGCTGAGAAACGGCCGAGAGCTGCGTCTGGGCACGTCAGCGTCGGCGCAGCCTGAGCAGCGGCTGGATCTGGCAGTGACATGTTGCACGGCAACATGCTGCTGCAACATACCTATATGCGGACACTGTGGCAACACTGGCTGCTTAAAATGCGGCGCACAAATTCTGGTGCAGATCATAAAAAGGATTACACGTAACATTTTGTGAAGTATATTTTATTTTTGCTTGCTGGGAGCCGGCAAACCAGTCCATAAGCGTCTAAGGATTCACTTCAGTGTCTGACTGACATCCACAGTGTGTGAGCACGGGTGAGTGTGAATGTGTATGTGCCAGTCTATTTGTTTGTGTGTTGTGCCAGTGTCTGTGTCTCCAATTGGGAAAACCGAAACGAATTTAGTGTCACTTCCACTTCCGTTGTGCAAACTATCGAAGCAGCCAACAAAACCAAAAACCGACACCCAGACAAGGATGGTTGGGGCAGAGAGGGCGTCAATGGGTGTAGGGGGAGCGGTGCTGATGGCGGGTTATGTGGCATCATGCTCTTTACATGCCTTGCACGTTTTATCCTTTATTGCCGTTCGGCATTAGTACAGGGATTTTGTCAGATTAAAGCAAATAAAGGGCGTGCTTTTTGTTTCCAGCTTTTTGCAACTGGCAACTGGCAACTGCCGACTCTGTCGATGATGCCACAAGTTTAAATCGTTGCTAAAGTGTGTGAATGCATGTGTGAGCGTGTGTGTGTCCATTTCATATCCTATATATGCATATATATGCCAGAGTATGACAAAGGTTGCATTGGCTATGCAGCCAACTTGGCTGGCCTTGAAGAAGAACTAGGCCTTTAAGAGTACAATATATGCCAGATAATTGCCAACTTAACTACTTGTATGTATCTATCTATATAATAATATTTTTTTTTACTTTACTGTGATGACGCCTTGTTTGGGCACAGGGTATTTATAAGTCGTTCAACGCAATGGCAACGTTATAACTTGAGTTTTTTTGTTGCTCTAAATAGATATTTTCGTTTAAAGCTTTTGTCTCTGGGTCTGTATGTGTGTGAGTTGATGTGTGTGTGTGTCTGTACGTGTATGTGTGTGTGTGTATGTGTGTGTTAACTGGTATCTGCTTGTATGGCTCTGTGTTTGCTGGCATGTTCTCGGCTGCAAATGGCACAAAACTTTGTGGCTTTTCACTTCATTCCTCTTGTTTTGTAATTACAAAAGCAAATAGTTTAGATTGCCATAGCAAAACGAAGAAAGACAGAAAAAAGAACTTAAGCTCAAAACGAAAGCTTTGCAAATATTGGAAACATTTTTGTGGGCCTTACTTTAGGCTTTGTCTTTCTAAAAGGCAAATGTTTTGCCCCAAAATTGCCCAGTTAATATAATCGTTAAAGTACTCGTAATAAACCCAGGAACATTTAAACATTTCAAGTTGCATTCAATAAAAGTTAATACAAAATTCATGTCATGCATATCAAATAAGCTTAAACCACAACAAAAACTACAACAAAAGTACTTAAAACAACAATCAAACAACTATTGCCATTGTATATACGCTGTAAATAAAAACGTACTTATTTGCAATTTTGCAATTTTTGCTCCAATTGGCAATTAGTTCCAAAGCAAAGTGCAGCAAAGTGTTTCTTCAACTTAAGAATAAATAATTTACGTAGGGCATTGTATAAGCACAACTTGCAAACAAAACATTCCTCTTTAAAGTTCAAGTATTTGTTTTGTTTATACAATATTAACGACAACAACAACAACAACAACAATTTACAACAACAACCAAAGACTAGTCATTTAAGTCATAATGTTGCTATGTACAAACTATTTAGTAGTTAAACAAAACGGTAAAAAATACATAAAATTTAAAGCTTACAGTTAATCATTCGATTTAATCTTATGCTTACTACAAATGCAATTGTGCATTTATTAGTTTTAGAAGCGAAAAAAAGCACACACAGACACAGAACTGCAATATTGTATTTTAAATATTTATTCATTAAATGCACATTTCACATCATAACAATAACAATAATAATGATAACGTTAACTAGCATTTATAATGAATAACTCAAACATCAAGTTTAATAAATAGCAAAGCGCAAATTCAACTACTAAATGCAACTCGAAATGTTCCAATTTAGCATATAGCCTAACTAATTATGTGGACAAATGGAAAATTGTACACAAAATCCAAAACAAAAATGAAAAATTCAAACAAATAATAATTTTCACGAAAATCCATTAAATTGTGCAAAAATAATTTAGGCACACAGCAAAACAAAATCATGAAATAAACAAAAGAAATCCATTAAAGGAATAATAAAACGAAATAAAAAAAAAACAAATAAACGCGAAAAAAATATATTAAATTGCTTTGTATTTATTTGAAAACAATTTAGCAAATTGATTGCAATGAATAATCAATTAATAAATTGAATGCATTCATTTTATTATAAAAGCTTTCGGTCAATTTCTGTGCATTTGCTTTGTCATGGTAAACCCATATATAGATTATAGATTTGACGGGGTCACCCGAGTAAGGCTCGATTCTTTTTTGTTTATTCCTCGAGTTTACCTTTGCGACAGCCTGCGTGATCCCGGACCTGCCATAAACTTTATCTTGCCTTCTGAAGTCAGCATTCATACGAACCGAAAGACATAAAAATGAAAAACGATTTAATTTCATTTTCAGATCTGCTCAGTAAAAAGTGAAAGTTTGGCATCGCACATTGTTATAATTTTTCTCTTATGCCGCATAATCAATGACAGCCCACGACACGAGGCGAAAGGAGAGTGCAGGGAAAATATTTAGGTTGCCCGGTCAAGATGGAATATTTATGCCATTTATGACACGAAAGGCCCTCGGAACGTGTGCCACGGACGTGTAGCAGCTCACTGTGCCCCGTTTCCTCCTCTGGTATTACCACAATTTTTGCATATTTGCAGCACGAAGCGACCGAAATGAAATGCACAAAAAATCAGTTGGCAAGATAAAGCTGAGCCGAAAAATAAGCGCAGCCAGATTGGCCAATGTACCCCTCCTTCTGTTCCAGCCACGTCTGTGTCTCCGGAGCCACGACGTCGTAAAGCCAATCGAAAGCGAGAGATCGCATGGGCGATATGAACATATGGACATATGGATCGTAGTCGTCTCCGTCGTCGTCGTTGACTTAGTCCTCCTTATTGCTGGTTGACGTCGTCGCTGTGTCTGTGGGTGGCAGCGGGCGGAGGTCCATTTGCATATTGGAACGATCGAGCCGACTGGACTTGGACAACAATCCTCTGGACCAGACAATTGTGTGTACGACAGCGCCCCAATACAACAAAGCACAACACAACAGGATCGTCTGACACAAAAACAAACAAAAAAAGTGAGATCTGTTTTTCGTGGGGGCTTTCCTGTGGAGGTAGCCAAAATGTCATGCGGTTTTATGACTTCATTAGCGACAACCGGCCAGGAATTTAATGGACGCTCCATTGGCTCCATCCGTGGCTGCCAGTTGGTTTCGCAAACAAATTTGAGGCACATTTTCGTGCACTTCCAGCGCGCTTGATGAGCAGCCAAAACGAAAGCTTAGAGAAAAACCAATCAGAAGTTTGGCGACCAATCGAACCTAGTTAAAGTCTAGGTCCCATGTCACGAGCTATCTATGGGGTGCCGGGTGCAGCTGCCAGCAATGAGAGTGGTTTCAGCTGACGTTGATGATTCATTTGCGGCTGCCTCATAATGAAGTCGTGCATGGCATTTGGGCTATACGCTACGATGATTAAGGAGTTCGCCAAACTAAAGAGTTGACACCTTTTCCTTGCGCGGGAATTGGCGCATGTCTAAAAGATATATGGCAAGGTAGAGAAAACTCTACCTTTTCGGAAGAATTAGGAATTTGGCTATTATAAGGTAAGTATTTCCTATTTCTTTAGACATTGAAAATCTACCTGTTATAATTTGTGTGTGTTTCAACAAATATGATGTCAAAGTTGATTTTTCATTGTTATTAACAAGCTGAAGCCGTGATCATATTCCATTTGTCTTTTTTAAAGTGACCCTTACACCACTGTGACCTTCTGGGGTCTTAATATCGCTTTTATTTTGTAAGCCAATTAAAATTGAATCTCTGTAGCTTGAGAGCGGTTTAATTACTTGAAGAGTTCAGCTCAATTCATTTGATTTATTGCGCCATCAAAGTCGAACTCTGTGCAGCCATAGAGTTGTTGCAATAAGTTTGTTTTGGGAAAGCAAGACACAATAGATTGACAGGCCTACAGGCTTTCAATAACTTTCCATTGGTTTCGGCAAGCCCACACCGAAAGATACAATGTCGGATAAGAAGTACAGCGAGGAGCTACGGCTCACAGCTGACATCTCTGACTTCTGACTGCAAGCTGACGATAATGTCGTCGTCCTCGTTGATGCCGACAGGCAAATCATCAGGCTATCGACAGTGCACTTTGTACGGCCCCCATACAGTTCCCTCTCCAGGTTCTCTCGTGATCGAAATGCTATTCGCACTGCAGCCACATGCATCATCATTATTATCATCATTGTCAGCTGCATGCAAGCGAAAAATCCAACTACTGCGCATGAATGAATCACTGGAGGAGCATGGAGCATGGAATCGGGCTAGGCACGGGCACGCCGTCTAACGAGATCGGCTGCACAGATGCTCAGTAAACCCATGGGCAGAGGAAGGGGGATTGGAGTAAACCGCATCATGCAAACGTCTAGCGAAAGTCGCGACAAAACTCTCATTCAGCTCCAAAGCCAGCCAGCGCCGTGTAGCCATAATGATGAATTAGGCTGCTGTCATGTCATGACAAAGGCGCAGCATCTGCATGCGATGCGGTTGAAGTGCCAGAGGAGTAGGCAGAGGATGCGGCTGAGGAAGAGGTGGAGGAGGACGAAGAGAAGGAAGAGGAGGAGGAGGGCAACTGTGCTAAGTAAGTAAACACTGGCAAAATGCAATTGCGAATGCGAATAGGAATATTCAAACGTAAGTAGGAAGTGGAGTCTTAAATGAGCTGCAGAGCTGCGGTCTGACAAATCGTTTGCTGTTCGACTTAGCCATCGTTTACTGTCGGCTGCCGACTGTCCGTTGTCCGCTAGCCGCTGTCTGCTGTCTGATGGGGATTGGCGCTCCTTGATCTGCTCCTAAGTGAAATTCGGTGTACAATATGCGAGCTTTTTACTTTTTGCCATGGCACGTCATGTTTGTGTTTGTGCCCGTTTTTCCGGCTGTGCAGCTGAGACGATCCGCAAACACTGCCCCGTTTCGTGCGCATGCAAATGCAACTGCGGATTGGCTTTGGCTGTAGCCTAGTCCGCAGTTAGCGTTCGCTAATTAATTGAGGCTGGCGACTTGTCGCTGGCAATTAGTTTTGGCATAAGCAGATGACATGTTGTGTCATGTGTCATGCGCGTCGTGGCAAATGAAGTTATTACCCATGGATGATTGCCAGGATGTGGCACAGAAATGCTGCTGCTGCTGCCCCTATTGCTGCTACTTGGCCTTATAGCTGCGAAGGTTAATTGCCAACAATAAGATTCAATCAAGCTAATGACGGAGCAGACAGGCGGCCAGGCGACCAGGCCTGTCAGCCGGGCAGCCAAACCAGCTTCCAGTAAGTACTACAAGCTCCCCGTTCCACACAATTGCAATTTATGAGCACAGTTATTGGACTTGGCTCGAAGCTGGATCGACTGCTGCTGTTGTCGGGGCGACCTCACGGGGTCGCATGCATAAAATGCAACCTCGTTGCGAAACTTTCTTTCAGCTCAACTGAGAAATATTGATAAAAATGCCAGAGTACAATATAATTTTGTAAACGTAAATAGTTTTGGTGGCCCGGCTACCAAACTGAACCGTCTGCCAATTGGTTCCGTGGGCAATCCTAAATAGCTGCAGCTGCAAGAGCTTTGGCGACTCAGGGATGCAGCAGGAGCAGTCAAGTAACGTGGATTTTTTTATGAGCAGCGATTAAGACTTCCAGGCAGAAATTACCTTAACCTTAAGCAGAGGAGAATAAGCTAGACGTCAGACTTCTTAGTAGTTTGGGTAACAATGGGTATTTTATTCAAGTAATATTGTGGCGCTTGCCTTATCCAGGCTCTCTAGCAACAGTGTCAGTATACTATAACACTGCTTGAGTAAAATAGATCAAGATCAGTTCGGGCTCTCACAGCCATATAACTAAATAGATTGAAGGGCGGAAAGGGCTAGGGGCCAAGTACAGTGGTTGCTGTGCGCGGTGCATCATGAATATTATATCTCGTTGTATAACAGTTGAGCTTGGTGACCAATCGTACGCATCGAAGGCGGAATAAACTTGCTCGGACTGTTCGGTGACCATGTCCCCAAACAGGCACCAATAGAAGAGATGACAAAACGATAGCACCATAAATATGATAAATCAAGCTGCCACAGTGGGTTCATGTCTGGCCACAAGTGCTTCAAATGTAGACAGGGATATTATCAAGAACGCGGTTAACATCTGCATTATCAGCGGCGCATAGAAGACTTCGTTGGTGCGGTCTACAATGCTGTAAAAAGAGGTATCTAGATGGTAATGCTACTACTCAACTCAGACACTAACTAAATTATCCTCTGATGAAATGTTACCAATCGACCTAGTTCAGTGCGATACTGCTGCTCGTCCTCGTGATAAGCCTTGGCAAAGGTGTTCAGCTCAATGCACAGGATCTTCAGATTGACGGCCAGCTGTGCGAAGCAGTGCAATGAGAAAATATCGGTATATAGAATGCACGCCATATTGTAGAATAGAAAGAAGCAAATGTAAGCAAATGTAAATGCAAACGTGCGCGATGGGATGTTGGGATGGATCGTGCCACTGAAAAGGACAAACTGCATGGAATGGCAACTTCTGGCCTGTCCAAAGTGCTGTAATACCACCAAGACACAGAACATTATTATGCCAACATGCCAAGCCAATCCCAGTGCGGACTCCATCAAAAAGAACCAGCGCTGTTCGGAGCGTATGATTGCCACCGTCGGTCCACTCTTTGGCTCGCAGTGACAGGCATCCAGATCATTGATAACCTCATCAATGTCATCCATATAAAAGGTAAAAGAAGTGCCACTTAAATAACATATAGAGGGTCTGCAAATGGAAGACTTTCGATTGCTTGCAAAAAATCAGAGCTGAGAAAAGCGAACCCCAATCATCCATAGACTATCTTGAACCAACTCGACTATATTGTCCACCGATTCCGGCAGCGCAAACAAGAATGTGAGAAAAAAGACGTTAATCTGAATCGAAATAAAAGTATGCCAAATCCGACGCGAGGACAGGCGGCGCTGCTCCTCGTTGGGATAGTTCCACAGGACACTACAAAAAGTGTTACGTAAGTAAACTACATCAATTTTATATTTTTGTATGTATTACGTGAGCTGTATGCGATTGTAAAAGGTTGACGCATGTTTCGGATGCGTCTTTTGATGGAGCACCAACCAAAAGTCCTTAAATTGTTCATAAATACGTCTCCAACTCTCGTCAGGAGCTCGATAGGCCCACATTGTGATAGCTTTATAATAATTATAAAATTGTGTATCACTTGTCGAGCTGCTTATATAGTATAGTATAGTATAGGCAACGCTGAGAATCATCAAACGTTATTCATTTGGGAGTTCATTTTATAGTTGTAGGTTGACTCTATGGCTCCTAGTTGGGAACTGCTGTTATGCGTTAAGGAACTGATTGGGCATTTGTGAGCTAAGCATATGGAAGGCTGACAGTCCTAAAATTACAATTGAATTTTCCAGTTGCACCCAAAGTTAATGATTATTATGGCCTGTAACTGCTATAAGCCATGGGCTGCGATGCATATTAGAAATTTATAGCGCAAGGCTCAATTAGGTTGGCTGATACTCATTCGTTCGCTATTCCTGCTAAATATGTGTATACAGTAGAAACCATAACTTGGGTTTCTGCGCTGCAAATATATATTCTCAGTGTGCAGTCTGCAGTCGCCTGACTGTGGCTGTTTTGCCAGTTTACCCACACTTAGACACATTTATCCACAGTGGCAGCGGAGTTTCCACTTTTTATCGTGCGTTTTGCTTACTTTTTCCTCGGTCCATTTAAGGCGCACAAAAATGCATTTTACAGTTGGCAGTGCAAATCTTTAACGGCTTGCAAAAATATTGCCTTGGCCAAGTTTGGTACGTAACGATATTCGGGCTAAGAACGTTGCCCGGCCGCATGGCCAAATAACATTTGACTTTTGCTATCTTTCGACCTGAACTCAATGCTCAATTGATGATAGCATCGCCCACACATTGGGCTTATTAATCTGGATAGCATTTAGCGGTTAGTTGTCGCTGCATATTTGGCAAATGGCCAATGCCGAGCTGACATGTCCGATTCGTTTGTGCCATGTCCAGGTTTTTGCGGCAAATGTCGTCGCTTCATTAGGCCCCGCAACATAGTCCGACAATCAACGACAGACAACTCTGAGACAGACAACTCTGCCAATTTCAATCAAATTCTGTCCCAACTTGTTGATTTAATACACTTACACAGGATACTGTGAATTTGTCAAAAAGTTGGAAATCATATTTTTGGCTCTACCAACTATCCATAAGTAAAAGTAGTTGGTGTAATCATACTTATAGTTCGCCTCAGTCAAATTTAATATCCCAGTGCATTACTCCAAGTTCAATAAGCCAATAAGTTCAAACAAGCCATATGAATTTAAAAGTCAAGTCTGTAAGAGCATCGAAAATGCGTCAAGCCGAAGCTAGATGTTCTTTTTTGTTGCTATTTTTTCATACGGCTAGACGAAAAGAGCGGTGATCGAGATTCGAGCTTTCGCTTTGGCCAGTCAACAGGCTAACAGAGTCGGCAGTTACCTGGTAACTGCCTGCTAGCTGTAGTACCAGGTATCTGGTACCTGGCACAGGTAGCACTACAATTTGCGCGCTTGTCAAGTGTACGACAACATTACGCGCAATTGTTCAATGTCAATGCATTTGATGGGCATGAAATGCTACAACACAGACGCATTTGCAGTCGATGAATTGTTGTTTTTGCTGTCCCCATTCATTGTTTTAGGCGGCATCTTCAGCAGGCGACCCAACAATTCCCATGTGCTGGCATGTTGTGTGATAACGAAGCGGCTGCTCCAAGTGCGCTATTGTCCTCGACAGTCGAGGAGCCAAACAGCCAGAGACAGTCAGCCAATGGGCCATGAACTCAATTAAGTACTTTAAAGAGCATAAATACAAAAGTCTGCATTTTATCCACGAAAAGATACGATCATAATTTACTCAACTACTTGTTTACGTAGGTCTATTAAAAATAATTTGACATATTCAAACTATTCATGATGATAGGCAAAAGTGTGCCTGGCATGCCTTTAAGCTCAGCTGCTGTTGCTCTTAGCCAAGCAAAAGGAACGCCCAAAAAAAGTATGTAAACTTTTATTACAACTGATAATAGATCTGTGCTGGCCACATAAAGGCCATCGACCATCGACAAACATTCAACAGACCAGCAAATACGGTCCCATAGCTTCCCGCTCCTCTCGCTCTTTGGTCTCCTCAAGCATTGTTCCCGGGGGGCGCAATATAATGTTTAAAAACCGCTCATTTCAAGTGATTTTTCGGTTAATAAATGCATCAAAATGTTGAATCTAAAACATTTTTATGTCGTATAATTAATCACAATTATATATTTCTATGGTCCGAGTAAATGGCCGGGACAATGGCCAACAAAGCGAAACGACTTTGACTTGAACTTGGACTTGCGACGCGCATGTGGTTGTGTTTGTGGATGTGGACGCGGATACTCTTGTCCCAGGCGCCATGGGGGGGTCTTTCGGGAGAGGGTTTAGCCAAGCGGCGCACTAAAATTTTATGACTCTATTATGAGAGTGGCGGCCATTCAGTTCCAGCTACGTTCCTCCGCTGCCTGCGCGGCTCCATTGTGCGCGACCGGGCTATTGTTCTAGAGACGGGGTTGGGAGTTGGATTCTGGGTGCTGAGTCTGGAGCCGCACATAGCTGCACTTGGCGGGCACTGCGGCTCACTTGCTGTACTCTGCCCATGCATATGCGCAAGTGGATGCCAAAGATTTCAGCACACAGATTATGCAAGCGAGACACACACACACACTCACATGCACACACACACGTAGCCTTTGGCCGCAGTAATTTATAACTGAGCTAAAATAGCCGAGAAAAACGCTTTGCGGCAACCAAAAATAATGCACACAAATTTGCGTTGCGGCCCACAGTTGAGCGTACGATTCTGCCAACTGCCCGCCTGCCTCACCCCTGCCTCACATATGCCACCTTCCTGCAGCCCCCGTCTCTATTTTCGCACAGGCATGTGTCTCTTTTTGCCACGCCCCTTCGTCGTCGTCGCGCAACAATAAACTGCATTCCTTGGATATTAATCACAGCAGCGCCACGCTTATGAATAACTCAACCCGACTCTACTCCACTCGCCTCCTGACTCCAGGCCACTTGCTCCTTTCCTCGCACTCGATGGAGCTGCTGTTGCCTTCAAAATGTATTTTCTATTGCAAAGCTTCTTCTTCAAGTTTGTGTGCTCTATTGATTTTGAGTTTGTTTAAACTTATAAGGAAAAAACTTTATTTCCTTAAGTTTTTAGTCAATCTATCATTATTTTCAATTATCGCTTCAAGGCAGTAGAATGATTTAACATTCGTAGGCACATCTTCTTAGCTTAAAAACACTTTTCGGCTAAATTTGGAATACATTTTATATTTGCTATATAATTATATAATTTTAAAGTATTCCTAGATTAATATTCTGGCAATTCATTACAATTCCTATTTTCCATATCAACTCATACAGGGTATCAGCTGAGCATCTAGCACATGCTCGTAGAACACACTGTACGACTGCAATCTGGAATATTTATTAACAATATTGGCAAGTTGTTGTTCTTGTAGTTGTTGTTATTGATTCGAGTTGGAGTTTCGGCTGGCCACTAAGCAAATGCAGCTCGCGTTCGATCGATTGATAATGGCAACAACCGACAACAAAATGCAAGGAACAACAACAAACGCTCGCCACAGGCAAACATAGCAGGCGATACATGCAGAAATTAAAGGCAGTTCCAGTTCCTGAACTGAACCCCAGTCTCAGCTTCAGCAACAGCAACAGCGCCAGCCTTAGCCCCAGCCCCAGACCAGGCCCCGAAAACACAATTAATATTTATGACCTTGCCTAGCTGATATATTTACCTGGGCGCACACACGTAAATGGCGCGATTTATCATCGGCTTTCGGTCTGCGGCGACGGTGACGGCGACGGCGACTGCGGATTCTAGCTGGACAGCAGATACAGCCACAAGGATAATAGAACTGTTAACATGGAAATAAAATTCAAATCAAATGCGCACTATCTCTATCGCACATAAGGCATATTTCCAGACATATGCTTGAGTGCATTCACTTCCAAGGGAGCAAATCAAGAATGTGCTCGGTAAGTATCCATTAAATTAGATAGATTTCAAATATACATATATGTATCTGTATATATGCGGTAATCATGTATTCAAATTTAACTAATTAGCTGCCAAAAAGCAGCTCGGCTAAAGTTCATGTCATGGGGGCAACCTGCTGCACATATCAGTAGTCGCAACTCAAATCCGACTCCGACAGGGGCAGAGTCAGGGCGAGACTCGCACAAGTGCTGCAGTGCCTCACTGGGTGGCTAATAAAGTCAACTCCCGTGGCAACAACAAACAAACAAAAACAACAACAGCAGCAACAACAACACGTGTATGCATATTTCAGCATGAAAATATTCATAATTAGAGTGCGTGAGTCCCTACCCTGGGCTGTCTCTCCCATAGTGTGTGTGTGTCTGTTTATGTGAGTTTTGTGTGTATTATTGTAATGGCATAATTAATTTATTAATTAGTTTTTCGTTTTTTTTTTGGACTTCCAACTCACTGAAGCATGAGACGCAGCAACAGCGGGTGGGCCTGTAACAGCGCGTAATTGAAGCTGCCCACGCACAGGGCTCACAGCTCAGAGCTGAGACCTGAGAGCCGGAGTAAGGTTCAAGGTGGAAACAAGCAAGTAAACAGTAGCGACAACAATTAAATGAGTTTAACCTCCAACTAAGTAGTGGTCGCCAGCTATCCAAAAACCAACTCCATTGAATGGCAATTATCAAGACCCAAAACAGATTTTTGTATGCAAGTTGCAATTTGCGGCGCTTTTCATTGTCGGCTATGCGAGCAATGCGACGACCTCCATCGTTGTCGTTGTCGTTCTTGCTGCTGTTGTTGTTGCTGTTGTTGTTGTTGCTGTTAGCGCAGACAATTGCAAAATTGTCGCCAGCTCTTAGCAGCATTGAGGAACTGAAATTCAAGCTGCGGTTGCAGCCTTAGCTTCAGCTTCACAACCCCAGCCGGATTTCATAGGCATACCTGTCGCGCATACCCCAAATCGTTTAGCAATTGACTGACGATTGTTTCTTCTTTCTTTCTTTTTTGTTTTTGTTTTTATTTGTGTTATTCGAGTACAAAAGGCCATTCGACTCGGAAACGCTACTGTTGTCTGCTGTCGTTCAGGGCCAACTTAGCCGGCGAGGTGCTCATTGTCATCTGCGTTTGGCAATTCATTGCCAAGAACAAAACGTTGCAAGACGCGCCCAAATGGCCGATTCACCGGCTTTGGCAATTTACGTACCTCGTAGATATGTTCAGCACAAAATGCAATGCTCATGGTAATTGCAATTGCTAGACTTCTCACACCTGTAACAGTTGATCAGAACTTTACCAATTTTTAAGTGGCATACTTTAACATTAACTTTCACTTATTTGGTGGTTATTGCCCCGTAAAAATGTTCAAATCTTGGATCTGGTTTTCCACATGATTGTGTTTAGGCTTTTTTACTGCTGGGTTTTATTCAATTAATACAAATTCGGAATTTCGGGCTCAAGCCCATTCGGAATAATTTCAGCGCTAGCTTTTTGCCCCTTCATTTAGAAGTAGTTTCCGCTTCTCTGCCATTGATATTCATGTTCTCTCACATTATATGCTATCTGAGCATTTCCGATCAAATATTTCGCATTTAATGCCCTCTAAGCAGTAGCTGTTGCAGTTCCCGAGACTATGCGCCATGAGTTCCTAAGCATTCAGCGCGATAATCTCTTGCAGGTGCCCCGGACCGATGGCCATGGCCATGGCGACGGCGACGGCCACTCATTCAGTGAGCAAATTTTATTTTTATTTTTTCCGACTTGCAGATCATGGAATCCGCGGAATTGAGACAATTATTTGCACATCGTGTATGTGGAGACAAGTTGCAGTCGCAAAAGTCGCAAAACTTGCTGAACTCCGCGCCTTTCGCATGCGTGAGATGCTGCCTCAAAAATTTGCGAAATTCATTAAATAAAAGTCGTGAAGAGTTTCTGAAGAAGCAGAACAAGGCTAAAACTGGCTGCTCGGACAAAAATATTTGACAAAACGCCACTTGCGAGACGCCGCCGCCGCCGCCGTCGAAGACATCGTCAACCATTTTGGGTAGCTTTGCTGGGCACAAAATGCGGTAGGTACTTTTTTACTGGTCCAAGTTCAAGTTCGATATGTGGCCACGCTGCAGGAGGTTAGCATAACTCAGACGCAGCATTGCCACCTCATAAACTACATTTAACCGGCCAAAGACTTTAGCTTTTCGATTTCTTTCGTTTCAAGCGAAGTTTTTGTTACGTTTGCGTCGTTTGTTAGATTTAGCGGCGGGCCACGCCCTTTTCATGTTGCTCTCTAGCCGACTGCTAATTGAATTTTCGTAGTTTCGTATTAGTATTAGTATTTGTTATTTTGTAGTTTTTTTAGTTCATTTCACAGTTGGCCTTGAGACGGAAGTTGGCCACGTTTGCATGTTTATGCAAATAGCCGCACGTCTGCGCCCTGCGGGGGACGCTAGGCGCGAAAGTAGCGCCCAACTATCGCCTCGCAATTAGTCAGAAAGGTGCTCAGGTCTCGCTCATTGACTTATTAAGGTGGTGGCCAAACATTGTGCCCCAGGCCAGCGACAGCTGCAAGACTCGTGCTACCAATTTCTGTGGCAGGCCGAAACGCACATGTTGCATATAGAATTTCCAATGCGGCAAATCTAAAATGCAAGCGCTTGTCAGGCGGGGGTCAGCCCGGAGGAACTGCGGTCAACTGTTAACGCTTTGCAAAAATAAGTATAAAATTACAAATGGCTAAAATATTGGTGGACATGTCTAAAAGGTCCAGGGACAGTTCCAACTGCCTCATTTATTTGCGCTGCATTTCCTGGCAGTGGCAACTTGTTAGTGCGGCAGCCGCAGCCGCCGCTGCTGTTGCTGCTGCTGTTGTTGGTTTTTGCCGTTGCCTTTGCAAAATTCATGCGCATGTTTGTGCCTCATTTTTGGACATTTTCACTGGCAGCAACAGCAGCAACAGCAACGCATCGGAATTGGCATCAAATGTGCAAGGGCAAAAGTTTCGTTGCATTTATGTGAACGACAGGCACAACCCATAACAGCAACAGATCCGGACCCAAACACAGACCCATGTCCAATGCATAGATACGCGCTCACTCTGGGATACATAAACAACAAAAAAAGGAACTATATAAGCGAGTGCTCAACCAAAAGATACCCTGTACTGAAGAAAAAGTCATAAGTTTCTTTTATTTGGGGTTATAAATATAAGTAGTATAAACTTTTTTGCATTTTTTATAAAATTAAAGAAATTCATTTCATTTACATATATATACATAATACCCAAAACTAACATATATGGCTAGAATTTACGCTTTTCCATCCACCCCGTTTTCTTTAACATTAACTAACATCATAGATATCCTTTTTGGCCATTCCGATTGTCACTCGGTATTCACATTTATATGTGGTGAATATAAAGAGTATATCTCCATGTAGCATAAACGCATTCAATGTATTTTCAGCTCGGCTGTTTGTTTGTTTTCTTGCTTTGTCGTTTGTTTGTTTGTGTTTAGCTCGCACATCGTTTTCAAAAATCGAAATTGAAATATGAGCCCCCGTTTGATATTTATATGGAACATGGGAGTTGGGGTCGCATACCTATGTGAGCATGAATGTATGCTGTTGGCTTTTGTTGCTTGCCTCGCTTTTTTTTTTTGCGAAACAGTCTCTCTTTTATCTAAAACACCAGCAGAACGGCAAAGAGATGTGGAGCCTGCACATTACGAATGCAAAGTGGTAAGTGGGATGAACTCTGAACCGTATGAAATTATTTATATATTATATATATTGAATTATATATTATATATTATATATTATATATATATATTATATATTATATATTATATACTTATTATATATTATATATATGATTTCGAAGCCGATCGGAAGGTCAACAAAAATATCAGCTTCCCAGCTCTTTGCTATAAAAAGTTTTATATATAGAGATTGTTCTGGGGTGTATTGTAAGGCGTTTTTATTTTTTATTAAATCGAAAATGGTTATTAGAGTATCCAAGGCGCTACATATAACTCCCACTAGTGTAATAGTTGGTTTTGGTTAAAAGGAGCTTAAACTACGATTGGTGTCGTTTGAGTACATAAAGTAGTAGTAATAGAACTCTCTGTGGTGTTGTCCGTTGTGGAAGAAGAACTTTCTGTAGAGCTTTCCGAGGTTGTAGAAGAAGAGCTCTCTGTGGTGCTATCCGTGGATGTAGAAGAAGAGATCTCTGTGGTGCCATCCGTTGCTAAAGAAGAAGAACTTTCTGTAGAGCTCTCCGTGGATGTAGAAGAAGAGCTCTCTGTGTTGCTATCCGTGGATGTAGAAGAAGAGATCTCTGTGGTGCTATCCGTTGCTAAAGAGGAAGAACTTTCTGTAGAACTCTCCGTTGCTGAGGAAGAACTCTCCGATGTACTGTCTGATGTACTATTTGTAGATGTTGTGGAACTTTCTGTAGAGCTATCCGAGACCGATGAAGACGAACTCTCTGTAGAGCTATCAGTTGTTGAAGAAGGAGAACTCACTATATTAATCGATGTAGTAGAGCTGGACTCTGGCCCTGTAAATAATTAGTTGATTACTAACATGGTTGATAATTGCTTCAAATGTTATTGCCTGGAGAAGTAGTAACAGGTTCTTCGGTCGTTGCAGGTGCTGGTAGTAGTGGAGGTGCAGGGTTTGAAGGTTTCCACAGTGGACCAAATATATTAAAGATAAGTGGCTTGTGCATGGTAATGTTCTGGTTAATGTTGAACACATTATTTGGACCGCCAGAATTTTCATTCCCTGCTCTTGACTGTTTCTCCAGAATACACTTCTGTTCCGATCCATTAAAGCGAAAACCGTCATCACAATGGCTCCATATTTTGCCAAGTAGTCCTAGGCACAGAAAATATGATTTGGAGTCATGTGAATCGACAGCTTTATATCCAAAAGACTGTTTTGCGCATATGTCCGCGGCGTATGCCTGCGATAAGCCCAGCAGAGCAGTCCATAAAATAACAACTGAAAGTATTAAGTGTTAAAGAGTTGTTGATGCCAGGCGAACTATTCCTTCTAGACTTACCCAACCGCATTTTAAATCTGCTAACGTGGACGGCTGCAAAAGTGCTTTTATACCCCCCAGGTTCTGACACAATTAGCTGAAAGCCCAAACTTAAGTGGAGCTAGAGCGATGTACACTTTGTGACACGGAAGTCATCTTTACTAAATGAACAGACAACAGGAATATGCGGGCAAACAAGAACAGTAGTTAGTCAACAATTTTATTTTAGATATTGAATAGAATTTTCAGTGCTCTCCGCGTTTTTCTTGTTATTTCAAAAGCGACTTGAGTTTGTTTTATACAATCTAGAAGGTTCAAAAATATCAAATAAAAGCTTATTAACTTCTGTTAAGCAATAGATGCAATGCCCAGAAATGAGACCAAAAATCATTTTGTATTTTCATGCTGATTTTCCAGTTTGGATTTGAATGCTGAACAGTAAAATGAATTTAAATATCGCGCTGGGAGCATAAAGAAACAAACATTTTTATATTTTTGTAAATGCATCATTACAACAAAATTTTATTGAAAATCGAACAATGCCGCAGACTTGGGTCCAGGTGGACGTGGGCAGTGCTACAGCCCATATACATTACTGATTTATGATGCTGGACTATTCATTAAAACGCCGAATTTAAACACAACATTGATTTTATTTGATTTTAATAGCACGGCCCTGGGAACGAAAGCTATTTATCTGCAGTGGTCATCAACTATAAATCGGTTGTAAAATGGTCAACCAGATAGTGCGGTGGACAAAAGAACCGCTAACGCCGTCAACGGGATGAGGCACTGCATCATCTGTGGCAGTTGCGACGACGACGCCCCAGTCGCAGACTGAGTCGAGTCCCAGTTAGGCCATAAATTTGTACAATTAAAAATTATGGTGAGTTTTTACAGTTCATATCAGAGTAGCTGTTAAGGAAAATTTATGTTGCAAGCGCCTGCGCTTTGGCAACATTGGGTGAATAAATCAGAAATTCGAAATCAAAGTTAAACGATTTTCGTTTGCCCTTCAAACTGGCCGTAAAGTTTGTGACATTTGGCTGCGTCGCACCTTCAGCCGTTTCAGCTGGGGGCATGCAGCGAGTCGTTAAAATGCAAGTGTTAGACAGGTTAAGCGCTGCTCTGCCGGCCCCCTGCGGTATGGTGGGGCACCAAGGGTTTAAATGCCACACATATTTATATTTCATTTTTATATTTTTCCAATAAATCAAAACACTCGCGTCTGATTTTTAATGCTGATTGTGCGTTGGGTTGAGTTTGAAATTTTAATTAGAAAATTACTGAATTGAAATATATATTGTTGAATCTCTGTGGGTAGCGGGGCGGGCGGACCACACCCCATTTCCACAGCGAACTGCGTGACAAGTTCGTAATAAAATAATTAGACCGCACGCAGTGCAGCCAACGCAGGAATTGGACAACTGGCAATCGAATTGGAAATACAGCTCCGATAAGCCTATTAAATCGTGACATTCCTCATTCCTCATGGCTCAATCGTAAATCATATCGTACGCCCAAGCCAAGTCAGTCCACCCATAGATCAATGTGACTCGATAGTTCGATTGTTCGATTGAGTGCGTGTTCGATTTTTAACGACCCAAACGACGTGCGCCGCATTTGAATGCCGCCGACTTCGGCAGTTGCAGTTGAAGTTGTACTTGAAATGCATATTTATGAGATGCAGCAGGGCATATCAGTTGCCTAGACGAGTTTGACACGTATAAGAAATATGAAGCTGATGGAGCAAGCTATAAAAATCTCTAGATTTCAAACATGAACTTATCTTTTGAGTACTTTTTTATATACGAATTTTCCCAAATTTGTATCGTATGAAGATTTTTGGAGCAAGAACAATTTATCGCAATTTAAATGAAAACGTTTAGGCAAAATATCTTGTCATAGGATATAAAAATGCAGGATATATGTACATAGGAATGTGGTATAATTGTTTTTTAGAATTAGCTGCAAATGGGTTTTAAAATAATACGAAAGGAAGAGAAATCATTTATCTTACTGTTAACTGTTTAGGGGCGTTGGCTGATTAGCCCAGATCGCAACGATCACGCAACTGTCCGTAGGTATCTGTAGGGCAACTCTCACGCACGTACCCAAATCTTGCATGCCCAATTTGGAATGTCACATCGCTGACAACGTTGGCTGATGGCCTAATGCCGTCCACTTGACAGCTAACAACCACACGATAAATCGATTGAATATTACGTTCCCCGTCTCTCCATACCCAAAACTCAACACAAGTGTGGAGGATTAATTTTTTTTGGGAAAAAAGAGAGAATAAATAAACACGATGCGCATTAAGATCAAATTACATGATAACCGAACAAATGCCGATAGAGCCGATAGGCCACCGACGAGGCGGGGTCGAAATGGTATGCGGTGGCACTGCTGTCAATGGGGGGGAGTAGTTGTATATCAACACTTGGCGATCGACTGGGTCTGGCATACAAATTGTATGCGTAGGAACAGATCAACACCCGAAAATGGGACGTGCAGTGAAAAATGATTATTAATAAAGTCTGGACGAGATTGGGGGAATGGCATTCAAGTGAGATCAAGAGGCCAAATATGAGGCTGAGGCAATGAAAAATAACGAGCACCAGCTAAAATATAACTAAACATAAAATCGAAATGGCAAACCGTTAATAAAAAAAAGAATAAGATGAAAGAAAATAAACTGCACTCTGCTGCAGGACGAGTGCCCGTTGCGTCGACACCAGCAACATATGGCCATGGATATGTGAGAATGTTAGCGATTGAAATCAAACGCCCACTGGAACTCGAACTCTAACTCGAGCTCGAGCTTGAGCTTCAGCTGGGGCAGTGGTCATGGCCATAGAAGCGCTTTGGCTGCTGCAATTTGCATAAACCAGGCAACGTGGTTGGAAAACTGCGCCAACTGACAATTGACAACAACCGCAATAACAACAACAGCAGCAGCGGCAACTGCGCATGTGCAGCGAAATTGTCAATTCGGCAACATGTTGGCATGGTGCATGGTCAAGTGCAGAAACAGGTTGCCACTCGGTGGCAGCCACTTCCTTGTGTTTGGTGTTTGCTGCTGCTGCTGCTGCTGTTAGATTTTCAAGTGCAGATTGCTGCCGTGGCTGCCTTTTTGTGCGACGTTGAAATTTGTAGCAGTCAGCAGTCACACACACAACCACACACATACGCCGACTCGCACTCACAAAACTGTCGCACAAAAAACATTCAGGGTTTGGGCTTGGGTCTGGCTTTGAGTCCAGCTCTGGGTAATTGTTGCCAACGCCAACAAGCAATGTCTTGGCAACATGTTGCCGCCGCAGCTGCTGCCGCTGTTGCTGCTGTTTGTTTTGTCGATTGTTTGATAGGCAGAGACTGATGATGGCCATCAGAATGATGCATTTGTACACCCATGAGTTTTGACGTGAAATCTGCACTCGTCGCCCGTCCGCCACTTGGCATAAATTTCGTGTGTGTTGTGTGTCTTGCCGTTGTGGGAAACCCGGCAGCAACAAGCCGAATCCAGTCTAGCGCCAAGATTAATGCGCAAGTCAATTGAATACTGCACTCCTTGCACTCCAACTCCGGCCTGCCTGTTTGCTTGCCTGGGTTCTGTTGCTGTTCAGCAATTGTGCGCCGGAAGCGACGATCTTGTTAATTTGATAGTCTTGCCAATGTTACCAGCGCCAGCTGCAATATATCATCATTAGAAATTTGTGAGCTTTCGACGCATTCGAACACGTACTTCATAATTGCAATGCAGTTGCTGTAACTCCCCCCCATTTCTCTACTCCCGCTTGTTGCCATATATGTGTGTATGTCTCTGTGAAACGCCCACTCGTAACTCTAGTGCCCCACATTCTCGACATCAGCAACCACCTGAGCCACTGAATGCAGTTACAGTTAGTTCATGTCCACACGACCACGTTGATGACGCCTTCTTCTACTGTTACGACTCTGGCTCTAGCTCCGGCTAAGGCTCTGGCCCGGTCTATTCGTGGTCTGGCAATTAACACTAAAGCAGCAACAAATCAATTTGGCGCGCTGTTGCTGCAAAATCGCCTCGTGTTGCGTTGCTGTTGCTGTTTCCGCAACATGTTGCAGGAAGATGCGTACCAAATCGATTTGAATGTGGTGCCAATGTGAATGTTGATGCCGATGTCGATGCTTTGGCCAGGCCAGGCCAGGCGTGCCCCCATGTGATGATGCATTACCCCACACACCGAATGCCAAAACTTTCAACGGCGGCTGCTGCTGTTGCAGTTGCAATAATTGCTCCACTTGGGCCAGCAACAAATCGCCGGTGCTGGCGTTTGAGCTGCCTTAGACTCTGGCCAGGCTTAAGCCTTGGAATGTACCCTCTCAGGCAAACGCCTCGCGCATACGAAATGAGACAGCCACGAAGACGAAGACAGAGGCGGAGCTGGAGCTAGAAATGGAGTCGGAGACGGACGACTTGAATGAAGAGGTTTTCCGTTGCCATTTGGCTGGCGATTTTTTTTCTCTCTGTTTTCAGCTTTTTTGTGCTTTTTTTGCGTTCATTTCCATGCTCAATTTTCCAATGTTTCCTGTGCCCAGCTAACAGCGAGTTATACGACAATAACAACAACAACAGCAGCAGCAACATCGACGACAGCAGCAACAGCAACAAAGCAAACGCCGGAATGCGTTGAGTTGTGCAGCCTCAACTCGCTGCAAACAATTGTGATTATCGAACATGGCTGTAGCTGCCTCTTATACACTAACTAAGGGTTGATGCGCTACAATATCAAACAGGTCTAGCAAATGGCATATATGGGTCGGAAATCTGATATTTTGGTCTATCTATTCCTTTATATATCGTTCAATATCTAGCTCTATATCTGGGTGCCCTCATAGTAACCGTAAGAGCATCCCTCAATTGGCTATTAGTATTTGCCTTTATTTTTACTTGTTTCTTGAGAGGATCGCCAGGTACGCCGGTGGCA